AAAAATGTCTTATGAGTTAGAAATTTGGATACCCCCTGCATTCCCAGCCTTTCTCAACAGAATAGCTGCCCAGTTTGCTGTGCTCAGTTACTTGTGTGTAACTGTGAGGTTGGACATTTGTTACTTGAAAGGTGCAATAAAAAACGACATTACCCTTTTGCCATTTGGTCTGTCCTTGATGAATTGTAGGGCAAATCCCATCATTTTTCTGGTTATTCTTTGGCAGTAAAAGGTCCTGTCATTTTTGGTTACATTCACACATGCAAAACTGTCTATGTTTAGTAAGTAATATGCCCAGTCCAATAAAATAAAGGGCTCCCTTCTCCCAGCTTATGTCTTCTCTGGTCTGCCTGCCCGTCCCCGACTCAATAGGCTGCCTTCAGCTCCTCCACGTTGAATTGGGTGGAGGGAAGAGAGGTGATGTATAGGGATGAGTCATATGAATTTGCCAATATTTGTCCTATAGAAATGGCAATTTAATGTTGTTCAATGTAATACTGTTGTCATCTGGCATCAGAGCTCTCTGGGCTCAGCAGCCATTTAAAACTAACTCCTTTCCTTCTTAGAACTTGTTCGTGGATTCTTTGGAGCACCGTTTGGGTTTTTCATCCAAAGAGGCTTGGGTGCTTTTGAATCTATCTTCTCTGACTGGCAGCTCATAATTCCATCTTCAGCTCCTGGGTGTCTGGAGTACACATCTCCAGCTTGTCTCTCCTTAGGGAGCTTTACCCTCCTGAGGCTGTCTTGATCAGGATAGAGAACAGTCTTATACTGACTTGCTCTTTTTTCCACACCTAATTGAGGGAAAATGCTCATGCTTTCTTTGCTCTGTGACACTCAGGAGGTGTGACCACTGCCAACATAGAACACTCTTAGCTCTACCATCAGCATAGCTGCTCGGAGCCAGTAATCTGCTCTTTCAGGTGTGTCAAGAGTCTGCTCACTGACAGCTTGAGGATGTTCCCAGGGACACATGTCCAGCTCTTTGGATTGTCCTACTGAAGCCGCTCTTCCTAGGCTTGAAATAAGGGGCAAGAAACTCCCACCTGATTCCCAGGGGTGGAGTGTTTGCCACTCCTAGCTCATTGAAATCTTTCTCCTCAAATTCCTTTCTCATTTATTTTCATCTTGACCTTTTTGTGCCTTCCACATAGGTGAGGGGTTGAGAATTGCAAAACCAGTTTTTGGAAACCTCCTTTGCAAGTCCTACATGGTAGACTTTCACCTTGCTTTGGAATGTGGATGTAGTTGGTACCTATTGTCTTGGAGGCCAGAGCCAAAACTGAATCTGAAATAGCTTCATTTTGACATCCTATTATGTGTTATGTGTGGATTGAAAAAATTTGGTGCCTTTCTTAATCTTTAAAAAAATGGTTAATCCAGACACCAGAGATCAGCGTTAAAGCAAACTACTGGTAAATTGAAATGATCTTGAATGAACATAAATGTACAGACAGAAATAATCCCCTTAGTTTTGTTCTGGCATTTCTTTTTACTCCAGAAGCAAGAGTTGCAGGAAACTGACCTGCATTTGAAAAAAATATATTTTTCATGGTCATGAAGTTGCCATATTCTTTTGTTTGTTAAAAATAGAAACTCTCTCTAGTTGGATGGCTTCAGGGTTAGAGAAGGAAAATTCTGTAACTGGAATTGATGGTTTTAGTAATTCACATGTCTCCAGTGTGTACTCTAGTCATAGTACACTTCTTAGAGGGTAGTAAAAATAATGTGTTTTTTCTCTATTCCCCTTCATTAGACCAATTTCCATAACAAGGGGTTAGGTTAGAGAAATTAACAAAGATTGCTGAGAAAACCTACTGGTTCTTCTTTCCTATTTCTGCTTTAGAAGTTGTTTAGAATATCTAATGAAGGCAGACTTACATCTAATACAAACAGAGAATGAACATATGTGCCTCAGAGCAGGTTTTCTAAGGGAGAGCTTTCCACATGGAACAGTGACCATATTGGGGAAAGAAGAACCCAGAAGACGTTGACGAGTTACATATTCTCTTGCCTGGAAAGGTGTTTGCTTAGAAGACCTGCTGCCCAAGTATTTAAGCCTTCGGGTCAGCCTCTCTTTTCTAGTTGTCAGCAGCAGCAGAGTGAATGAACATAAGCCATATTTGATGAGCTACAATTAACATAAAGACTCATTTTGAAGCTGATTAAGTTCCTTTGAAACTGAAGGAAAATTGTCTAGTAAAGAAACTTGTACTTCCTACAAGAGGCTTTTTTTTTTTTTTTTTTTTTTTTTTTGCTTCATGTTTTTAGTTAAGGTTAGCCAAGTTTAGTTTCATTCAGCTAGAACTAATCTGAAACAGTTTGGAAATAAATTTTATTCCTTTTTTAGACCAGGGTTCAGCACACCCTGGCTGTAGACCAAATCCAGCCTAACACCTGTTTTTGTAAATAAAGTTTTGATGGAACACTGTCACGCTCATTTGTTTACATACTGTCTCTGGATGCTCTTGCACTGCAAAGGCATTGTTGAGTAGTTGCAGCAGAGACCTGCAAAACCTAAAATATTTACTATCCAGCCCTTTACAGGAAAAGTTTGCAGATCCCAAGCCCTAGACTAAGGAAAGTACTGAGTATCAGTGTTTTTGTGGTTACATACGGCAAATGGCTACTAATTCTCTGAACTATTACTAATTTTAAATATTTCAGTATTCTCTACCATTCTTGATTAAGTATTTTGTAAAAATAACTAAACTCATTGTGAAAATTGGTATGGCCTAATTGCTTAATGGACAATATGCTGAACATTGCAAAACTCATTTCTGCTTTTCAACTCCCTTGGACAGTAAAATAATTTATTTCTTTACCACTCATAAACACCCTGGGAAGACATTGTGTGGTACAAAGCACGCTGTTAGCACTCAGTTATAAAATGATTTCTTGATTTATTGGAACAATTTAAAATAACAATGAAACAAAGCACTTTCCTTCCTTCAGTTTTCTATGATGGCTGGCCTTTTGTTCTCCTTCGCATTTATGTTTCTTCCAAATAAAAGGCAGAGAGTTAAGGTTACTCTATGGGTCATTTGTTTCTTCAAGGCAGCCTGATCCTTCTCAAGAGAAGGTTATTTTAATGTCTTACAGGAGATGCTGTCTGATAACTGAGGCTAATCTGGTGAATATTTATGGTACAGAGTAAAAAGCGACAGAGAAGGACTAAAGTGCATGGGAACTTTAAGGGCAGAGAGATTGCATTTAGGTTTGGGGATTCGGAGAAACAGGAACATTGTTTCTAAGCCCTGGAAGATGAGTAGGGATGGAAGTACGTGTAAGTGAAGAACAGGACAGAGGAGGAGTAAAAATACAGTGCGCTGTACCCCAGGACACTGTCAGTCTTGTGTGACTGCTCTTGACAATGTCTGTCTCCCTCACTAGACTGATGCGCTGGTGCTCAGACTGTAATGTATCTTTATAATGCCTCATATGGTGTTTTGTAGTAGTTACCCAGCTAATGTTTGCTATATGAATTTAACTTGACAAACAGAGACGTTATCAGTATCAAATTACTTATTCCACAACCTTGTCTGTGCTGGCCTCAGTAATAAAGCAAAAACTAATGTAAGGACTAGCACTCTTTTTTGTTTATCAGTAAAACAGGTAATACAGGTAAATTACCTTTTTGACTTGATTATTGAGGATGACAAGTTAGAACTTGTAAATGAACAAATCCATGTAATGTATAATGTTATTATTTATGACACGAAAACAATTTAAGATGGAAGTCACAAATGTGAAGATTCTTAAGATATTGATTAAAACAACACAATTTATTTGGAATCTTCTTTATGACAACATTGAAGCCAAGTTTTAGACAATTATTTTGTTAGCATATAAGTAGTTGCATTTGTTTTATATTTTGAAGTGAACTATATCCTTCTTTTAAGATTAAAAAATAACTTCTTGGACTAATGGGTACAAAATTATGCTATTTACTGTAAGGGAATTATTGTACAGTACATGCACATGTTGAAACAACACACTGTACCCCACAAATATATACAAGTAAATGTTAAAATATTTTGAATAAAAAAAAATAACTTCTTGGTGTACAGATGCTTTAGATTAACCAATGGTGCTTTTTAAGAAAAGGTAATATCTTGTAGCTGCATATGTGTGTTTGCTTTGATAAATTTAGGAGATTAGATTTAGAATAAATATCATTAGTGGAATTACTTAGCTCTTTTGGAGAGCTTCTATTTAATGTGTTACCTATGATTTAGAATGAACTGTTAGAAATATGAGGAGTTAGTGTGGGCTCCTTAGCTCAATTGGTTAGAGTAAGGTGTTATAATACCAGGGTCTAAGGGTTCGGGTCAGTATATTGGGTAGCCCCCAAAAAAAAAAAAAAAAAAAAGAAAAGAAATATGAGGAACTAGAAAAATGATACAATAGGGCACATGTTTTCTTGTTGATTTTGGAAAAGGAAATAATGATACCTATGAAAATAGAGTAGGATGTATTGATTTAAGGGTTACACTAGAAAATGATTCAAAGAATTAGAGAGGTAGAGGATGTTGGTCTATGATGACTTCGTAGATCACTTCCTTGATTATTTATAAGTATTTGAATTATGGGTAACTTCATTTTCTCCATTGGTTTTTGATAGTGATATCCAAAACAAATTTGAAGTTATTTCTTGTTTGTTTGATGTATTTTCCTTGCTTCATAAATTCCTGAATTATCTAACTTAATCTAGTTCTCAATTCTCAAATGGAAGTCAGATTAAGCAATAAATTATAGAGACAGGTAACTTTTTTTTGTTAGCCAATTGGCAAGAAAAAACTCACGAAATCTCACAGGCTTCATGTTGCAGTTGACTAAAAATAAACTTCTAAAAATTAAAATAAACTGTTTTGTTCATTAAATCATTATAAATGTAATTAAAAAAATAATTTTTAAATCTGTTTATGCAGGTAGGTAAGCAAGCAAAATAATTAAATAACTCATGTATTTTCTCGTGTGTTTTTTCTTTCTCCCACTAGGACCAGACATACTATCAATCATTTCAGGTTTCAGAATACGGTAAGAGTTCCTTAATTTATTTTGAGAGAAAAAACATCTTTTACTTTCCACAGAGTTAAGGAAAGTTTTCAAGAAATGTGTTATTTAAAGTAAAAATCCAAATGGAAGTAAAATTCTGGTGTTTCTTATAGGCCTAAACATATATTTTTCTTTGTAAATGTTCTAAAATTTCATTATAAAAAAAAAAGTAGAAAAAGATCACCTATTGTCCCATTATGCTGGTCTTTTTCCTATGCACAGTGTTTATGTGTTTCTACTTTGTTGTGATTATAACACATTTATTTATTTTTATTTTTTTATCTTTTTGTCCTTTTTTGTCTTTTTTCGTGACCGGCAACGGATCGCAACCCTCAGTGTCGCGCCCGTACCGGACCGGGACTGGCAACGGGATCGCAACCCTCTGCGTTGCTCCCGCACCTCATTCAGCCAGTGAGCCGCCGGTCTGTATGTGGGATCCGAACCCTCAGCGGGAGCGCCGCCGCGCTTCCCAAGTGGCGCACTGTAGCAGTGCGCCACCGGGCCGGCCCATATAACACATTTAAAATTTTGTACTTTTTTGTTTGAAGCTTAACATAAATTGTTTTCCAAATTTTGTATTTGGTCAGCAATGGTAAAGACCCCTCAGATAAATCTCCTTTTTGTACGTGCCACACATAATATTGTAGTTAGAAACACATAGAAAAAAATGGTGGGACCCAGATGTTTTGTTGGTAGACGGTGAGGAAAGGGAGATGACAGTGAAAGCTAGGATTGCAGTATTAGTTTATAATTAGAACAGCTATTTTGAGGTTACACATGAGCTTTTTTCATTTGACTTGTGCCACTTTTTAAGATTGCATTTCATTCAGGCAATAGAAATTCTGGAAAGAAGTTTGCCTTACACCTCTGTGGCTCGGGCTCATGTATCTCATACGAGTATTGTCCTATCTAAGTCTCATGATCACCTAGAACAGTGATCAGTAAAGTGTTCTCCTGTAATGGATCAGGTAGTAATATTTGAGGCTCTGTGGGTCATATGTCTGTGTCATAACTACTCAGCTTTGCCTTCGTAGCTCTACAGCAGCCATGATGCAATAAACCTTGTTTTATGGACATGGAAATTTTAATTTCATATAATTTTCATGTGCTGTGAAATATTATCCTTCTTTTGATTTTTTTCAACCAATTAAAATTGTAAAAACTATTTTTAGTTCATGCTGGTCATAGTTTGCTGAACCCTGATCTGGAACTGTGCTGTCCAGGTGGGGGCTACTTAACTGCATGTGACTATTGAGCACTTGAAATGTGACCAGTCCACATGGAGATGTGCTGTAAGTGTAAAATATACACCCAGATTTTGAAGACTTAGTACAAGAAAAAAATAAAGAAAAATAATTCACTAATAATATTTTTAAATTTTTTTTTTTCTTTTGTCTTTTTCCGTGTCTGGCAACGGATCGCAACCCTCAGTGTTGCCCCCGTACCGGACCGGGGACCGGCAACGGGACCGCAACCCTCGGTGTTGCTCCTGCGCCTCGCTCAGCCAGCGAGCGGGAACCGGTCTGTATGTGGGATCCGAACCCTCGGGCGGGAGCGCCGTGGCGCTTCCCAAGCGGCGCACTATCCAGTGCGCCACTGGGCCAGCCCTTAAATTTTGATTATATGTCGAAATGATAATATTTTGGATATATGAGATTAGGTAAAATATTGCAAAAATTAATTTCATCTGCTTATTTTTACTTTCTAAATGTGACAGCTGGAAATGAAAAATTATACATGTGGCTCACATTTCATTTCTTTTGGATAGCCCCGATCTAGAAGAATAAGTCATAGGGAACTAACATTTTCATAGGCTATTTTCATATCACATTGTGGTGGTACTGGGTAGTTGTATGTTTTTGACTGGGGTGCAGTGGAGGAATTGATTCTCAACTAATGTTTGAGGAGGGGGCATTCGAATTTCCTTGTGTTGACTGTTCACCTCTGAGTGGCCTCTAACTTCTGTGCTGGTGGAGGACCTTGGAAGGAGGTCATAGCTGACCCATGTGACTTTTTTGATTTTCCCGTCCTAGACTGGCCTAGAGTCCAGGTATGTCTTGGCATATTAAGAGTCTTTAGCTTTGTTTGGAGCTGGATGTCTGCCCTGTATTGTTGACCCACTGGGCTTCTTGACACTTCTCTTATGTTAATTGAATGATGAGGTGCCTTGTAGTGAGACTTAGATCTATTTCTTTGATCAGTGAAGTTACAGAAAAAAACATTTCTATAGACTGGAAAGAAACAAAAACTTTTTATTCTGGTGGAGTTCTTTATTTTAAATATAGTTTTAATGTTTATAAAATATCTCATATCTTTTTTATTTAAAGCTGACCAAAGCAGAGATTTCTAGTTTTTGGTGAAACAAAGGACTTGTCATCTGTGTTAACATGTTATTTGGATCCTAATGAGTCTCCGTTGAAATAGTACTAGCTGTCAACTCCTTCAGAGTAATTCTATTTTTTATTTTGTTCAGTCGAAGATGATAGTAAAATAGATTCTTTAAAAGATTTACCCTTGCTTTTCTTTTCAAGTATTACCAAAATTTGAAGTGGCTTTGCAGACACCATTATATTGCTCTTTGAATTCTAAGAATTTAAACGGTACCATTACGGCAAAGTAAGTATCATTTTTTTATATGACCTTAAACTATTATAAAACTAGATGACAAAATATTAGCAAAATGTTTTGCTTATTAAAGTATGCTAATGGACAGTAAACAACTATCTATAATAAATAATTAACACTTGACAGTTCTCTGCAGGTCTTTGCATTTATCTCTGCTTTTAAGCTGATCCAGTCCTAAAATATTTCTCATGGACTAGTGTCTTTCTAAGACTAATTCAGGGATTTAACTTATGGATAGTGCCAGATTTTTTTTTTTAAGTCATATCTTTCTTTATTCCCTATTCAGATGACATGGAGTTGAGATGACTTACCTCTTAAATCCTATTTTTTCCATCAATAATGGAGATTGAGCTCTTGCGGGAGGGGGCTGGTTGTCTTATTGTAATTAGCAGATGAGTAAATGACCCATATTCATCCATTTCAGCATTAAGTGCACAGAGACTTCCCACCACCCTGCATAACAAATGGGTGGTGTTGCTCATGATTGTGACCCACTGGCTTGAAAAGCATAACATTTTGTTTTGCGGGGGCAAAAAGCATCCTCAGAGTTCCAGACTAATGGTTCTCAAAAGTACCTGAGGGACTGCCGTCAGGTAATTCAAGGACTGGTCTCTTGTAGCTTTTATTTTTGATTGATCAATATTTGTGCTTTGGTTTCTGGAACTTATTTGGCTTCATAATTTATTTCTAAGAGCTAATAAAACCAGACCTCACCTTGCTGCTGTCCCATCACTGTATTCCTTGCTTGGTGAGGGTTTGTTGCCATGGCAAGTGATGGGCAGCAGTGAGTCTCATGGCAGCAGCAGTCTGCAAACCAAAATGTTCTGAGGACTCCTGCTTTAGACTATTTGGCAAAAAATCATGTGAAACCCACGCAACACAAAGGCAAAACATATCTATAATTTGTACTGTTAGTTTTCTGCCCATGTTCAACTAAGAGGCCACTTCCAGTATGAATTTGGGTACTGTGGATGGATTTATGGTTTAGAAAACGCATACAAGCTTGCATTTGACGTAATTATTATATTGCACTTGATCTTAGCCAAAGGTTAAGCATTCTGTCTGGGTTTTATTTTGAGTTCTTTGACTAATGCTTATAAAACTTACTGGGTAAAAATCCACACAAACATTGTATATGGATCCATACAATCCATGTTCACATGGATTGGGTTGAGTCTGGATATCTTCTTTGGTTCTGTTTTTGGTTTTCAGAAGTGTGCCAGGGATATAATATACTCAGTAAAATAGTGGTTCTTAAACTCTGGTAATTCTCCAGAAATTTTCTCATGTAACTTTAGGGAGTTGTGTACCCCCTGAAGCCTTACAACTAACACCTTCCTCCCCCTAGCCCAGTAGGAACCCTTGTAGTTTCATGGACATTCTCATGGTTGATCCTTTTTGAGTTACTAATGGTTGAGAATGGCATGACAATTTTGATGGCCTCCTGGCATTTCTCTACAACCACCGTGTTGTATTCTCATCATTTTCCTTAGTTTATGTATCAGTTAAGATTCAACCAGAGAAGAAGAACCCATAGGAGATATAAATAAAGAGATTTATGCCAAGAATTGGCTTACATAATTGTGGGGCTGACTAGGCAAGTTCAAAATTCATAGGGAAGGCTGTCAGGAAGGGGAGGGGAGGCTGGAATTCTCAGACACAGCTGGAGTTGCTTCCACAGGCAGAATTTCTTCCTCTTTAGGGAAGTCACAGCTTTGCTTTTAAGGCTTTTCATTCGATTGAATCAGGCCTATCCAGATTATCTAGGATAACCTCCTTTACCTAAAGTCAACTGATGATGGACTTTAATCACATCTACAAAATAACTTCACCTTAATACTTAGATTAGTATTTGATTGAATCACTGGGGACTTTAGCCTGGTGAAGGTGACACACCAAAAAGACTATCACAGCATCTTTGGCTTGTCTGTTATGGATAGTGAGCCTTCTTGTTGCCATTTAAAGTTCTCAGATCTGGTGCTCACTTAGGCAACATGTACACTGAAGTTCTCAGATCTGGCTAGTTCTGATGATTGTCCCTTCTGCGTACTCACTTCCTATTAAATCTCCTTCCTTCAGAATATTAGCACAATGTTTTATTTATTAAAGTATGCTAATTGGCAGTAAACCAATAAAGCACTTGAGGCTTCAGTTGTCTAGGGATGATGTCCATGGTATGACGAAGGAAGGTAGTTCTAGCCCTGGGCCGTGCAAATCTTCTGTGTGAATTCAAAGGAATTGCCACCAACATGGCCTAGGCCCCTTTCCCCAGAGGCCTGTGAATAAATCATGACCATTCCCTCTCCACCCCAGCTGTCATGAGTTCTGGGCCTACCAGTGCAGTTTCAGCAGAGTCTGCTTTGGCCTCTAGGGTGGAGAATTAGATGGAGAATATAATTTACAACTTTGCAATAGATAAGGAAAATCTTTTGAGTTCCAGGGGTCTTTTATCAGTATGTTTATCAGTATATTTTATTTTATAAAAATTAGTATATTAATACTGGCATATGCTATTCTATAAATACTTTTTCTATTCTATAAAAAGGTGGAAAGGGTTATCATCATCATCATTACCATCTTGACTGTATCTGTCATGATGAAAGCAGCACCTCTTTTCCCTTCAGAGGTGAACTCCTCCACGTGAGCCTTGGATACCGTCATCTATCAGAAGAACTCAAGTCCCACTTCCTCTTTTGCCTGTGTCTCAACTTCTTTCATTTGGTATCTTTAACCTTTTGCTCTTTAGCGGCATCTCCACTCTGTGTTTAATCGTTTCTATTATTAAAAGAAACAAACCCTTCCTGGCCTGCTTGTCTGCTTCTTCTCTCTCCCTCCTGCACAGCCAGTTAGAGTTGGTTTCCACTTCTTCACATCCCATTCATCCTTCAGCCACCTGAGCCTCCCACCCTCACCGTGTCATTGAAACTGCTTTCATCATGGTCACAAAGACCTCCTTCTTGGTCCACCTTGTGGGTGTTCTTTTAGGCTTTTACACATTTTTTTTTTCCTTTTGCAGCATTTGACATTGTTTTCCACTCCCATTTCCTTTCTGGTTTTCCTCCTTTTCCTTGGCTACTCCTTTGAGACTCTCTTCTGTCCATCTTTTAAAAATTTTTGTTTCTTGGAGCTCCATCTTTGTCTCTCTTCCCTTCTTTCTTTACACATTTACTCAGTTTTCTTCACCATGGCCAGGGCTTCTGTTACATAATTTGATGGTACCTAAATCCACATCTCCAGCCACATTTCTGTCTTAAGGTGCAGACCCTCATATCTCTCTGTGCACTAGACACACCTGCTGGGTGTCCCACAGGTGCTTTAAACTAAACATATCATCTTCCGCCAAACTTGATTCTGCTCTCGCATCTCTGTCTTGGTGGACCACGCCTCATGTGCACAGCTGCCCAAGTCAGCTGCACTCTTCCCACTCGCTAATCCCATAGCCGCTTGCCATCCAATGCTATCGATTCTATCTCATTAACTTCTCTCAAATCCATCTACTTTTCTCCATATGTGCACAGCTGCCCAAGTCAGCTGCACTCTTCCCACTCGCTAATCCCATAGCCGCTCGCCATCCAATGCTATCGATTCTATCTCATTAACTTCTCTCAAATCCATCTACTTTTCTCCATTGTCACTTCCTTGATTTAGGCCAATATCATCTCTCTTTCCTCAGTTACTATTTCAGTTTCTTAAATGTTTTTCCTGACCCCAGTTTTACCTCTTCCAATTGTTTCTCAAATACTTTAGTATCTCTTGCAAGATTCTTTTCTAGTTTTATGTCTTTTGACACATTTCATCCAGCCTATTCTCTACTGTTCCAAACTCTACTCCCAAGTTTTACTTGTGCTTTCAAGAATGCAAACTGCTGTTTCTGACCAATAGGCCTCTACATAGGCAATTTCAAGGCTTGCTGCTTGCCCCGAACCCTCTATCCTTGTACCTCTCATATAGCACTAGTCACACAGAGCTGCCATTTGCTAGTCCGCCTCTTTGAAGACGGGGCTGTTCTTGTTTACTGTTGCACCATGACTCCTCGTACAGTGCCAGCCATGGAGTAGGCATCCAATAAATATTTATCAGAAGAACAGATGGATAAACAACATTACCCGTAAGATTTCAGTTGCAAGCTGTATATAGCACAGCAAAGGTCTTCATAGCAAATCAAAAGCTGACTATTTGGAGTTCTGAGGATGCAGGAAAAAACAAACTCAGTTTCTCCTATACTCTTACTCAACAATCAACACAGAAGGCTTCTGTGACTTCTGGTCACCAAGAAGTGTGTGGATATTTCTCCCCACCAATAGCCGATCAATCAATTCTACAGTGGTGTCTTCTAATTCAATTCAATTCTGACACTATCTACCTGGAGATCAGATCACAGGTTGAAGGCTTAGTCCCACAAGATTGCCCCGCTTCAGATGCCAGTCTCAAGAAATTGGTTGTCATCTGTATGTCTGACTGATTGGCTATAAGTTAGGGTTTCCACTACCCTCTCCTTGGGTTTGACTAATTTGCTAGAGCAGCTCACAGAACTCAGGGAAACACTTTACTTACATTTACTGGTTTATTGTAAAGGATAGTACAAGGGATATAGATGAGTTGCCTAGGTGAGGCATGTGGGAAAGGGTGGAGAGCTTCTATGCCCTCTCTGGACGTACCACCCTCCAGGAACCTCCATGTGTTCAGTTATTGAGTGACCTAGAAGCTCTCTGAACCCTGTCCTTTTTGGCTTTTCTGGAAATCATTGACCGTTGGTGATCAACTCAACCTGTAACCCCTCTGCCCTCCCCTGAGATTAGGGGGTGGGACTGGAAGTCCCTACCCTCTAATCATGCCTTGGTCTTTCTGGTGACCAGCCCCCATCTTGAAGCTACCTCGCGTGGCCAGCCATCAGTCAACTCCCCAAAATATATTTGGCACTTTGAATATTCCAAGGATCTTAGGAGTTGTATGCCAGGAAACAGTGAGAAGATGAAATATATATTTTAGAATACCACAGGAGTGAGCCAAATTGAGTTGTAAGGGCAACAGGTTTGGTCTCATTACCAAACTAGGGGGTAGGGAGTACGGTCTGAAATCAAGTGGTTCTTTGGATGTATTTTGAAACATGGGTTCTGTTGTCTTACCATTTGGATGGTTAGTATTAAGTTATAGAGATGATTTTGTAAATACTTATTTCATAATAGCTATTATAGTCCTCTCTATGAGTTGATGATCAACAATTTAGGTTACTCTTTTGCTGGTAGCCTTCTGTTCCATCGAGGCTTTAGTTAATGTGCAGAGAATTGTTAGAAATTTCTTGGTAAGAAGGTTAATAGGCTTCTTTTAGTTTTGGAATCTTTAACTGAAGTGAATAAAAAATAAAAATATTCATTTGTTTATTAGCTTTGATGTGAACATCTGCTTATTATTCCTACTTCGTTAAAAATAAATAATAAACTCTTTCCCACTAGTCACCATGAGTTCTAGAGTATTGTAAAGAAAATAACAGCATATAGATGGTTTTGTTACATAACTCCTGAGGACAGTAGAATTTTAAAAATATTATTGGAACTAAGGTTTATTAAAATGTATTTATTACTTGATGAATTGAAATATTTGTATCCCAGAAATGACATGAAAAAAAAAAAAAGAAGGTGGGTGGGGAGAAACATGAATTATACTGATAGGTTCACTTTTTTAGGTATTATTTTACAAACCTTTTGTGCTATTGCTGTTTTTGGGAAAAAAAATCCTTGTTTTGTTAATGATACTATCTTTGATTAGTATCTTTGATTTGCTTTTAAAAATGTCTTCAGCTATTATTTTATGTGTTGTCAGCACCACGCTCAGCCAGTGAGCAAACCGGCCATCCCTATATAGGATCCGAACCCATGGCCTTGGTGTTATTAGCACCGCACTCTCCTGAGTGAGCCACGGGCCGGCCCTATTATTTTATGAATACTTAGTTTATTCCTAGTGCTTCCAGATTCTTTTTAGGACAATAATTGTGAGTGTCTTTGTTTCATAATTATTATATTCAGCTTGGTTCTTGCAAAGCTAAATCTGCTTCACATTTAAATCAAAATTAAAAATATTTGTGTCTGAGATACTTTAAATTATGTCTGAATTATACAGCTCCCTGTACTGTCAGATGATATACCTCTTTTGAAATACAATATTCTGGTATATTCTAGTTTTGATTTTATTTGCCGTTTAACAAGATATAAGCAATGTTAGGTTTCAAAGGCTCTTCTTTTGAGTTAGTGAATTTGATGCTAAAATGGCTTACCAGGCTTTCCACTAACTTTACTGTTTTTGCTTGGAAGGCTGGTACATTTGAAGTATATTTATATTTTTTCTTCTTAATTTGGAATATGCAACTTTTGAGTTGAGTTGATCCAGATGAGGGGCTGTTTCTGTGTTCAATTAATGGATTAAGGAAGCAGCAATTTACTGTTACGATTTAAAGATTGCAAAGCAAAGTTGACTTCTATGCTTGGCTCAGCATTTCGCAATAGAGATGGAAGGAACCCAGGAAATGCATTTAAAAAAGGCTTTCTGGCAATAAAATGTTTACCACAGATAGCCTTTTCTTTACATGAAGAGATTCCCATAATGAGAGGGAATTAAATGAATACATAGAATGCTAAGTAGCAGGGAATGAGATTTGACTCAAGAAAAGTGTGTTACTAGGAATTAAAAAATCACTCTTACTTTAAATTTTCCTGCAAAAAACCAGTTTTTTAAATCCATGAGCGCATTTGGTGCTCCAGAATCTATGGTCTAATAAACCCTCCTGGCTAATGTTGGAAGATGCAGCAATAGGCCATGACGATTGCAATTTCAGCTAACATTTAAAAATCTTCAAAAGCTGTGAATTCTCAGGAGCACGAAGTTAATTGGCCAGGTCAGATTTCTAGGAGCGAAAGGTTTTCATAATCTTTTAAAAATCTTTGAACAGGAAACTGTCGCTTCCAATTATGATCAGATTTTCTCTAGGATCTCTCAGATGGTCAGAGGCTGGGTAAAGTGTGTATTACAAATTGTTTTAAGGTACATAGTTAATAGTCTTCCCGTTTTGGACACTTAATTTCAGGAATCACCATTTGTTAAGGACATTCTTTGCTGGGTTTAATTTTAAAAATACATAGTAAGAGTATGTCTTTAGTGTAATTCTTTTATGTTGGATTGCTAGGGCATGCTATTGACCAACTGAAGGAAGTGGATAGGTTAGTGCCCATCCTTTTTTTTTTCTTGGCAGCTGGCCACTATGGGGATCTGAACCTGTGATCCTGGGGTTATAAGGCTGCACTCTAACTTACTGAACGAACTGGCCAGCCCTCATAGTGTATACTTTTGAAAGTAATATTTTCATTATGTTGCTATGCAATATCAAATTGAAAATGTAAAAAAAGCCTGTTTATTATTTTTCAGGTATACATATGGGAAGCCAGTGAAAGGAGATGTAACACTTACATTTTTACCTTTATCCTTTTGGGGAGAGAAAAAAAATATTACAAAAAAATTTAAGGTAACTTTTGCAGATATTTTATAACTTTTAATGGGAAAAATATGTGTACTTTTCTAGAAATAAGATTTTGTACTAAATTAACAAAAGATTGATTGTAAAAAAAATCAAGAGCTTTCCAGCATTGGACAAGTGAGAATTTACTCAGCAATGGTGATTCAAATGGAACCAGTCATCATATCGTTGTGATTTAATTTGAGTATAATTTCTAAAATTTGAATTGCTAAAGTGAGAAATAAAATTGAACTTTTTTTTAACAAAATAGATAAATGGGTCTGCAAACTTCTCCTTTAATGATGAAGAGATGAAAAAAGTGATGGAGTTTTCAGAGGAGTTGTCTGAACACGTGGATCCGTCTTCTCCTGGGCCTGTAGAAATTTTAGCCACAGTGACAGAATCACTCACAGGTTTGTAGACTTTGAAGTGAAGGTAAAGCTATTGATGTGGTGCTGCTATGTCATCTTTCTTTTATAACTAGCATTTTTATTTGGGAGCATCATTGCCTTTTTAAAGATGCTATTTAATTTTGAAATTGTCATGATTATTAATTAGTTTCACTTGATGGATGTTTTTATAATAAAGGGGAAATTTATTTTCTATGAAAGGCTGTACTTCAACCACATGTGATAGCTATTTGTATTTTTTTTTTAACTCCTTTTTCAGCCTGAAAACTACATGGAAAGGCCTGCTTTTTCAGCGGGCTATATTCTTTTTTTTATTTAAACCATTCAACATCTTCTGAAATCTCACCTGCTCCTAAATAGTTTTCTCTTTTAATAAGAAAATAAAGGTTAATTCCTTGGACTTTTCTGTTACTATTTCAACAGCTTTAACCAATCCCTGAAAGAGCAAATGACTATATTGTCAATAGCCTTTCTCTGCTGGGGTGCATGTCACTGAGGGTGGATGGCACTAATGGTGCTTAAAATAGGACTGTGTGGTTCTCTTAGTGTCGAGGCCAGTATGGGAATGAGGCTTATGTGTCCTGATATTGTAAACCCCTTTGGCAAGTAGCTTAGATGGAGAGATTTGGTGGGTAGAAGCTGTTGGTGAAATATTACTTTTGCGTTCTAAATGGTATAATTTCCAAAACAGGTATCTCAAGAAATACAAGCTCCAATGTATTTTTCAAGCAATATGATTACATCATTGACTTTTTTGATTATGCCACCATCTTGAAGCCAGCTCTCAACTTCACA